TTAATATCTAATTAATGATATTATTTTTTATATTATAATATTCAATTACAATAGGTATACTTTCCATTTTTTATTGTTCCCTTCATGAACCAGAAATTCTTTGTTTATCAATTAAAGGTTATGTGTTTGTTCTATCACACATTTCATAGTTTTATTTTATGTTTATATAGAAATAAATTTGTAACAATTTACAACTTTAATACAATGGCACAACTTAACTTTAGATCTCATATTTTTTTTAATAATTTAAAAATATAAATATACAAATGTATGATACTTCTTTAATTTGTCAAATTATAAATAATGTATTTCATCGCAAGATGTCACTTCTTACTTTCTTCGTAAATGCGCGAAATTTGAAATATTAATATGAAAACCATAGATGTAGTGTAATACATCCTATGTAGTTATATTCCCTTTTAATGAAACTTGAAAAAAAAACATGAACGAATTTAACTGAAAAAAAAAAACATGAACGAATCAACTCTACAACCAGTATTTTGTTTGTGTTAAAGTGAGTCTTGAAATCAAATTCAAATTCTTTTTAAAAACTTATCACAAAATTAACATAATAACAACTTATAGCAAATTTATGTACTCTAAAAACTGTTTAAAAAATGATTTATCAAAAGTATATGTATCCATTAAACTTTAGATGAGTACAAATTGTTCTTGTAGCAAATATTTAGTTGTTAAAATGTTTTGTATGACCAGTATACTATTCCTATTCCTATTCCTATAGGAATTCTCCAAAATGACGTATGCTCATCTTTGTATTTGATTGGTCGATCAATGTTATTTTAGTTTTTTTTCTTTAATTTTTCAAGTATATAAATAGGGTGTAATCAGAGTTAATGGCAGTCGCCGGCCGTCGCCGGCACCGGTGCCACCGAAAGCCCCCTGGGCGTAAAACCAAGCGCTCCCAGGCGGTCCCCGATGAGAGCCAAATGCGAACCTGACAAGACTCTGATGAGATCTCCTATAATACATAAAAAATCATTGAAGATTTTGACATAAAAGATATAAATTTTAAAATTCCGATGAGATTCCATATTCTTATATACGATAATATTTTTATATTGTCTTATGAGTTTATGTAGGGGGAAGTCCCCAAGTGGCGGACACCTAAGGTTATTTATAAATAATTCAAAATTTTTTTACGAAATGATTATTGAATTATGATTTATGTTAGATAACTAAGTTAAAAATCAAACTAAATTAACGAAACCGCAATCTTTGCTAAATAATAATTAATCAATCAAACTTTGCCATAAAAAAATATGATTTTTAACAGTGGCACCTAGTACCGGACATTTCAAAAAAACCTGTATTGATCACATATGTAGCCATCTCCACACTCTGGAATGCACATATGTCTTTGACGAATATTCTCAGATATTGCAAAAAAAGTAACTATTCATCCACCCTTTTGGCTGGGCCACACTAATGCTCTCAGCTGGTGCATTCACCATAAGCTTTTTATTCTTTGACTAAGAAACACGAAAAATGGGCCTATATGGTGACCGTTAGCACTCATACAGAACAAAATTAAATAATTGGAATAAATTATTATATATTATATTACGTAAATTCTCACAAGAAATTTAATATGTTTACTGTCCGGCACTAAGGGACGACTTAGTGTCCGGTTCTAAGGGACAGACATTTTTGATCATTTGGTGGCACCTAATAAAATTGGTTGAAAGATCTAATAATATTCTACCATTTTACGGATAACAATCAAGTACAAGTTTTATCTTTGCATACCACTCAAACGTAAATGCCTAAATATGCTATGTTGCGCTTAAAACAGAAAAGGGTTGCTCTCGCCGTGGCCGTGTGCGTCACAGGCGAAACTTGGCGCGTGATCCTATACCTGTGCGTCCCCAGTGCCCCTTTCACTTGTATTTTGAAATGAAAAGATTTATACACGCTTAAATAACACGTGTTAAATACACTGTCCGGTGCTTGGTGCCGTCCGGCGTTACGGGACTTCCCCCTATACATTTTATATAAGTTATATTTTATATAGTTAAAGATAAGATATAAGATCTTAGTAAGACTTTAGCAATATTTTAGAAAAAATGAAATATAGAATACAAAGACTTATTTATAGTCAATTCGAAATCAAGTTAAAATTCACTTAGAATTACAACATTATAGGAATTTGCAAACATATATTTAAATAAATAAAAAAACAGTTTAACTCGCAATGGACTCCTCCCATTGGATAGATGATCTAAAATCTAC